CCTCTCCAAGCGGCGGAGACGAGCTCCGTCGTCCGCGCGCTAGGAGGTGCGCGTGTTGTTTTCGTTGACCCCGGGTCCAGCCAACCGATCAAGTCCCCAAAACTATTTCTGACTTCGGTTCCCCTCGCTGGCAAGACGCCCACCGCATCGTCAAGTTTCGCTGTTACGTCCTCTTCCTGCAGCTCCACGGGCGCGACCACCGCGTCTTCTATAATCGTCTCTGCCGGTCCATTGCTGGAGTCCTCGTCCGGTTTGGAGATTATGAACGACGGTTCGTCGCCACCCACGAACTTTTTGGCATAACTTAGAAGTATCGCCAGATCTTCGACGGTCGGATCTTCGTCGTAGTGGTCGAAAACGCCTAATTGGTTTTCCATCGTTTGGTATTCTATTGCTTTAGTGATATTAATCAAGCCATTTAAAGTGGCTCCGACGTCGATGGCGGTTTCAGAGTTATATGATTCGGCCATTTTGGAATTGACAGGTTTTTTGGTGCGAGTAACGGTCAGAAAAATAAAATAAAAGTGAACAGATTTAGAATTTCGTCCTAGTGCGTCGTTGATTGTTTAAAACAAAACATTGTTTATTACTAGCCAGCGTCATCATATATTATTATTAATCGGCCAGCACCAGCTAGATTTCGGGTCCGTTTATTTTTCCAAATACCAGTATTATTCAACAATTTCAACTAAACATATCCAGAAGTCTACTATTGTAGTATTATATATTGCGATTTTACAATTATATATGCTTTTTGTGGACGTGTTGGTACTCTGGGTTTTATAGTATTTTTTTTTATTTAAATGTTAATAAAATTGTATTCGTTGGATCGAAAAGATTGAAAAATTAATAAAAGGCTACCGTCACATTATCAGTTTAAAATGTTTAAATAAATTAAAACACAATACAAAATTCTTAATAAGTTGTTGATGGTTTAAATTTTAAAAAAAGTTGAGCATAAATTCATAATTTTGTATGTGCACCTTATGTTAAAATTTTGACAAAATCACGAACATTTGAAAATAATTTTGTTTTAAGAAATTCATTAAAATAATTTGAAAATTCAATACAAGAATTTTTATAAGTTTGTCTACCTAAAAAAATATTTGAATTGCCAAGTTAGTTGTGATATTAGAGTAGTAAATTCTGAATAGATATACTATCAAACTTTTAGGTAAGAATATTATTTGTGCTCAAGCGTTTGCGATTATGTCATGGGTAGCACATCCTCATAAGATTTGATATAAAATGACAACTAATATCGTAAGACTGAATGTAGGCACTAGGTACCGAAATATTCTGCAGCTGATGTTATAGTTGCTGCGATGGATTTTGAGAACATTCTTATGAAATGAAATTATATTTATCCTCGAAAATATTAAATAGCAATGAATATTGTTATAAAATCGTTTAAAATACTGATGAACTTTATTCAATTAAAAAATACAATTTTATTCTTGAATGTGTATAATATAATATATATGTAGATTATAAAAATGAACTCATTATTTGAATGAAGATTTGAGCAATAATTACTATAATCACAGTAACTATAATAGTAAAATATATTAATTAAAATTATGCATTTTCAGTTTTAATTTTAAAATGATGTGTGATTTTTGTTGTGTCACCTTTGGGGCAGTAAAAATGCTTCGGTATTATACTTTAGACTCTTTTCTTGTAAGAAAGTGAATATAGTTGCTATTTTGGGGGTCAAGAATAAATAAATTTCTAAATATTTTTAAAAAGCGTCAAAGAAGAAAAATGAGGACTTTTGCTATAACCAGTTTTTGACTGAACTTAAAAACTAATAGATAACTGTAGATACTTTAAATTTTCACCAAATGTTTATTATATTATATAACATCTTAAAATATACTTATTTATATTATGAACTAGTAGACGCCGTCTTCGCTCTAAACTGTTTTCGTATGCAATGATTTTATATCAGCGAATTTAAATTTAACACATTCGTTACTGTGGCCGCTCTAGTGTCTAGACCATAGACCAGTAAATTAATTATAGTTCATACGTCTATGATCTATATACCTACCTACTGTACTGCAGAGTGGTACCGACTTTCCCACCTTTATATTTATTCACCTACATATCCGTAAATAATGATGAGAAATATGTTGCCTATACTAAATAATATTATTAGATTGCATTTCACCTTTTTTGAAAGCCCTTGTTGGGAACAAATACGGATGTCAATTTTTAAGTGTTAAATAATTCAGATAGAGCTGTTTTAAATGCATGCTTAAGTAGTGAATACGTTTGTTCCATATAAAAATATAATTGAATATAGGTATTAAGACATTTTATTATTTTAAAAAATATTTGTGATTTCCGTTTTAAGTTTGTATAAACAACACTTGAATATTTTCCAAGAAGAAATTAATAATTATATGCATGTATACTCATGTTCTAAATAATTATATAATTAGTCGGCTGCATTTGTAATTAGGTTTATGTGTGTTGTCGAGTGCTGTTCAGAATTTAAGTAAACCTTAAATAGATTTTTAACACGAAAACTTACAAACGCGGACGTTATAGTTTTGGCCATGAAACAAATTCATAATATTATACGTGCTAAGACTCGGAAACGGCTATGTACAATACGCAGCGCTCGGTATTTAAAAACGAATCAAAAATCTTAACTCAATTAGCGGGAAATTTTACGTCGATATTAATTAACACAAAGTTAATTTCTCCATGACGTGTTTCCTCGAGGAGAAACTTTGCCGATTATAATTTAATTACACAACAGTATAAGATATTCAATCATTAATATACCGAACTGTGTGTTTCAATTATTTATATATGTTTATAATATATATATTATTATATACGAATGAAGGGAAGTATATCGTTATTAAATTAAGATTGTTATGATATGGAAACGAATTAGGATTTTCAAACAAAACTATAATATATAAGATATCGCTTATTGTTATAAGCTTTGAGAGTGTTAACTGCACTAATTCTACGGGCATAGAAATAATTAATTTTACGAGTATCAATATTTTGTATCGATGTCATCTTAAACATTTCTTTCCGTTGCAGGTATAATATACATTACATTATAATAACATTATTTATGACTTTACATGATGTACCTTTTGCACTGCAGAATGGTATATTTAACATTTAAATGTAAAATTGTAAGATCTGACAGAAACACTTTGTATGCATAATATGTTTGAATAGCGAAGGGCCAAAATATATTTCATGTTAAACTTGTGTTTGTGTGAATGAGATGTATCGTTTTACGGATGATAATCATATCATGCAAAATACCTCAAACAATAATATTATAACAGCAAAACAATTTTTGTTCTAATCGTATAAGAATGACGGTTGGTCGGCTTAGAACTTACCTGTCACTATAGGTTCTGGAAATTAAATATTGTAAAAAAAAACGATAGTGATATGATTATTGATTCGTTGAAATGGCCACGGTACGATGAAATCGCTCAGTGCCTTGTCCCCGTAAATCATCGCGAAAAGCTCAAATCACTATTACGTAATCCTTCTTCTTACGTCACTCTGTTCCGTTTTATTTTTTTTGATTTTTAACGATAAATCATTATCAAAATATAATATAATCGTCATCATTCATCTCAAACAGTATCACAATAAACTTATTGGGATGTATTTACTATATATTATTATAATGCAAACGATTCGCGACTGTATCCTTAACAGTTCGTAATATTATGATGTGCAGCGTAGTACTTATTAATAAAACATATTCTTCTGCGATTATTGAATATTTATTTTTCCATCTATATTTTATTTTAAAAGTTGTGCAGGCTGTCTATATAACTTCGCTAGTGGTAGCCAAACTCATTTTGATGAAAATCTACCGAGGATAACAATTTTCTTTGGATATAAAATGTATGTGAGGAGTGAGGACAAAACGGGACAGTATTCCTTATAATTAATACCAATAGCATTACAATTTTTTAAATAAATACGTTTAATCAAAATAAATTTTTGTAAGTTATATGAAGTAGAGCCATGGGAAAAGTAAAATTTATATAAATAATACATTTTAATTTATAAATTATAATTGTAATTATTTCTTATTGTAATCATAAAATGTAATCATTGTTTTTAATTTTACAGATTGTAAGATAATTATTTTTTAATATTTAATAAAAAAACAAAAAAATATTTTGTGGAAACATCTATATAAAAAGACATTTAAATACAAAATTATACACGGCGTTAAAAAAAAAGAATATCCAATACAGAAAATTGTTACTGTATTATAAAAGTTTTGTAATCACACCAGGAAACTAGGCTACAAAAAAAACATTTACAAAGACGCATCTGCATAATACGCAAAGTATGTGTCTCCAGCCTCCACACGAAAAAATGTTATAATGATTTTGATTATCTACTGCATTTACAATAAACGTATACAATTTCTTTATAGGTATCATCTATCAGGCTCTCAAACGATTTTGGCCAAAATGTAAGTCTATTAGTTGCCCCATGGGTGGTTAACTAAATAAATGTTTATATTATAACAATTTGGATGAAAGTCTTTGTACGTCGAAATAATACAATGTCTTAATAAATTCGAGTTTGATCAATTCTAATCAAGACAAAAATGTTTTAAAAAAATACATTAAACAGACAAGACAATGGTCGAGCCTAAATTGAAAGTACTTACAATTTGAAGTAGGTAGGTACACAATGGATTAAAAAATGGGGTGAAGATCAAAAAAAATATGCAAGATATGTATATTAGGGAACATTATCAACATTTTTCGTGTAGCAAGTCCATCATAATTTTGTTGTTTGAAATGAGTGTCAGTAAATATCGATTCTCAATATTGAATAAGATAATTTTATCTATTTTTGTTTTTTTTTGGTTTATTTTTAAAACGAACTTTTAAGTATTTCTAAATAATTTGTGTTATGAATACAATGTTATAAATTATAATACGAATATACTTACAATGTAAAATATTTTAAATTAAACAACCATTATATTTCAAAATTAAAATATTTCATTACACCGCAGTTACTTTTAGGTACTTATTATCTATGTCCTATTAAGTATCAATTCTTAGAGAAATCTACCTCCCATGGTCTTAACAATTCTACCTCATAAGCGATGCAACCTAATAGCTTATTATCTTTAGTTTTCATCTTGCCCACATATTTATATTTTCCATAAAAGTACACTTTTGGGGCGTTGTTGTCCTCAAGAAGTGATGTGTCATATCCCGTTGATGTACTATAAGTACCCTGTAAATATTCAATAACAATATTACGGATGATCATTTCTTTTCTCGATCAAACAGATAATTTATACAATTTTATATTTCAATACATTAAGATGTTTTTAACCGTATAATTTCATAATATTTGAATTTACCATATTTGTAAATATTATACATTACCGGTGGTATTGGACAGTTTTCAGTTGGAACATTAAAAGCTTTTAGAAATGATTTCCAAACATTTCCCGCGATGAATTTTGTTTTAGTACAGTCGTTAGTGGTTACGTAAACAATAGAATTTGGTTTCCAACCTCCAGTTAAACTCCAAGATTCAACATTTCCGTCCAACTAGGTACACAACAATATAAAAACATAAAGAATAGTGAAACATTTATAAGGTTTAATTGAAAATAATTAAATCATAATAATCAAATGTAATTACCTAGGTATTGAATAATTTAAAAGATATATATATTCGTGGTTTTTATATATTTTGACTTATTATTTACCTAAACATTTGTGCTTTTGGTTGAAATTAATTAATAAATATTGAAAATACTCATTATATCTTAGACCTAACTGAGCTTTTTATTTAATAATGAAACAATTAATCAATTGCAAGGTATTTCAATTATATTTTGTTGATTATTTAACAATACATCTTAGGTACGATACATACCTATTTTAAAATATTTATAATATTCACGTAAAAAGCTTAACTTTCTCTCCCACTATAAGAAAATATTTAAATTTTAGAAGAAAAATACATTCTTAAAATTTCATTTACAATATAGTACTTAACATTTCTAGTACCACGAAAGTCGAGTTTGTCTTTATATTTTTTCAAGCTTTTATAATATATTTTAGTAGTAAAGTGCCTCGTATCAGAGAAACTACGGTGCTGACTAGTGACCGACTGTCGTCCGGTTTGTTCAAACAGAACATACTCCTCGATTAGATCAACTTTTGTCTTCATCTAGTTAAGTTAATCTTAACTAACAAAATGCAAGCTATAGTTGAATATTTGAATAATTAAGTGACAGAAGAGCCTGATATTACTTGAATATAAAACAGAGAAAACCTACATCATCTAACTAGTGATGTCGAGAACCCTGATTTTTAAAGTCAAATCGAACACGAACCGAAAATTTCAATAATTTTATAGTACTCGAACTTTACTTAAAAAAAATTAAAACGTTTAAAATTAAAATGAATGTAAAATATCGCATTATTCATAATCAAAATTCTGTGATACGATAATGGAAGTTGACATGTACATTTTCATGAAATTAAAAAAAATTCTGTCAATTAAGTACTCAAATCTATATTAAATAAAATAAACCCTAAAGATTTATTGTTGCCCATTTATCATTTATCATTTTTAGTTATTTGATTTAAGAATTGTCCCATGTATACCAAATACTTTGATAGAACGACAACAATATAACAACTGCATATTTCAGTTCGAATAGCTATAATAACTTTACTATAATATTTTAGTAAATCTGACTAACCTTATAGCTATCCTTAATTATGAAATACAGTCAATCCCACTATTTTCATAGTACAATTAACTGTTTTGTTTTTACTGTATGTACGTCGAACAGATCCGGTGACTACGCTAAACATGTACGAGGGTTCGTAGGTTTGCTTATTACTATGTGTTGTTTTGGGCCCAAAGAGATTCGATGGCGTGAGGTCGAATAAAGAACTAATTAAAATGCTTCATATTTTAAATTTCTAAGAACGAACTACAAAATGTAAGATGTTATGTGAAGTTATAATAACTATCACATGGTAATTATTTTGTTTATTGCAGTAGAAATAGGGGAGTAGACAATAAATATAAAGATTCATACTAAAAGGGTTATGAAAATTAAATTGTTTCTTCTGATATTCATCAGTATGATTTAAATATTACATTAATATATACCACGTAAATATTCAAATCAAACCCAAATTTAAGTAAAAACAAAATAGCAGTTTTTAATATAATTTATCGTATACATTACTATATAACTACTTCCTAAACCATAACATCATATTTTTCAAAATTCACTTACTATTAATGAATCATCCATAGGTATTCCTAATGAAAAATTACCCCTAAATTCTGTAACATTGGATGACTTCTTATTCAAATATAAATTCACTTGAAACGGTAGATGTTGGGTGTTATCACATTGGCGAATTGCATTGGTTACCAATCGATATTTTCCCTATATTTAGAAAATGTATATATTATAATCAAAACGTAATATAAACTAACAATAATTTTGAACACTAAATATTATGACCATTTAAAAATAAAATGTAAGAGTTGTTTAACTTACCAAGGGTAAATTAGGCCTAAATATGGATTGCGCTTTTAAAACAAAAATAAAACAAATAAAAATATAAAATGTTATTAGAATCATTTTTATTTAGCATTTATACTCTTAGATGAACAAGAAATATTGAGATTGATTGTAAATGAAAATAAAATAAAATCAAATAACTAAGTATAATAATATGCTATTTTTACATTTAAGAACAATATTCATTTAGGCTATTTAGCACGAGTAATAGTCCCAACTGACAGACTGGTTAACATAAAACTGTATTAACAATATAAAATATTACAGTATGATTTTGCGTTGATATCTGTATAATTATTTGGTCATTAAGTTATTAACTCGAACACCGACTATCAATAAAAAAAATTAATCAACTTTAAATATAATACAGCAAAATTGTTTTCAATCATCATCCTTCCTTTAAATTAATATTTATTTTTATTTTTATTTATTAGATTCTATGTAGAGTGATGAATGTATTGATTTGACATTGATATGGCGTGTTGTAATATTTTTATTTTTATTTAGATAATATGTTTTTGGGCGGAATACAGTTTTTTTCCGACCGATTTTCTGCTTAACGCTTTGTTATAGCCATAGAAACGTAGATTAAAAAGCATATATATAAACATATATTTATATCAAAGATCAATAAATAGCTCTAAATTAGTTTAATTCCAAACAAAATGTAAAATGATCCTAGATATTTTTCTACTGCACTTTACCCAAAAACAAATCCACGATTCTTCAATTTTCCTTGCAGAGGAAAAGAACTATTGTCTATTTACACGAAATTGCAGTAGAAACTATGTTTCGTAGTCCTTTTTTTAAAATAATTGGTAAAAACAAAAATTAAATTAAGGAAAATCTGGAATTTTAATGCAAAACTATTTTTTGAAAAATCCATTTTGTATTTCAGCGTTAATTAAAGGTTAGCTTAGATTTAATATTATTTTTGAAAGTGTCAACATGTAAAAATAAATATAATTTACAAATTATTATTATTGATGCGTTAATATATTGAAATGTTGTTGTTATTTGACCTGTACGAGTGATAGAGTCAAATAATAAGGTGAGAATTTTGATTTAATCTATATAATTAAAATAACTTGTCCTTAATGGCTGTTTCACCATCACCTATTCGTATGGTTAGGTTTAATGTATGGTTAGATACTGGAAATTGAAGATTGAATCTTTGTTATGCTCAATATCATGACGACAGGTAATACATTCTTCTCTCCTCCCACAATCTAAAATTAAAACTAGAAACCTAGAAAAATACTTATATTTTTAAAGTGATTTTTATTTTAAATTCTATTTGTTTAAGTTCGATATATTTATAAATTTATGACTTTATTGAATGTAACATATTTAAGTATGAAAAAAAAAGTCATCAACATAATATCAGTGAACATTTTCGAAACTCATCAAGTCTTGCACCCCCTATATGTTCTCTATGTATAATGTGATTTATTTCACATAGTACCCGAATAATGTAAGTTTATATATATATATATATATAAACTTATATATGTATATAGTAATATTACATTATTTTTTTAATGTTTCAGAGCGCGTAAATTTTTTTTTTTATGATATTCTCAAATGTGAGTAGATGTAGGTAGGTTTATTATGTAACCTGCTTATGACAAGCGTTATAGGTACGTCGTAAATATATCCAATAAAAGTTTCATCATAAATTTCAAATAAAATTAAGAATACATAATTTCCTACCTAGTACCTACCTACAGCTACAGTATGTTATAGTTGCGAACACATATTGTTAAATTGTAATAAATTATTACTAATAAATTATAGGAAAATGATTTTGTCAATGTTCACAAATGAACTTAATTTTGAAAATTTTTTTAAAAGAAAATGTATTATTTGACTAACAAAAAATGATAAAAAAGTATTAAAGAAAATGATAAAAATTACCTACACTTTTAAGCTAAGCTTGTGTGGTGTATTCAGTTGCAGTGAACAAATACGATTAAATTAAATTACATAATTAAATAAAAGTAAATAAAAATAATAATAGTAAAGGAAAATATACAAATTGTTCTTATACTAGACTTTGTGATAATAAATCATAAACATAATCACTGACATACTTCACTAAAAAAATGGAACAACATTTACACATTTCTTGATGTCAACATTATCAACAAAAATAATTCTTTTTTGGCAAAGAGATTGGCAAACTGATTAAAAAAATACAAATTAATTTCAATAAAATAACATAGAATAATAAGAATAAGTAACACAATAAAATTATGTAAGTTGCATTCAAAATCTTTAAACACACTATATTCTATACTTTATATTTGATTTGATTCTTTTTTTAAACTATTAGTGAAAATAACCATGAGTAAATTCGTTGTTTTATGCACGTAATTCTAGATGTTCTAAAGTCATACTTATCATGACTTTTTATTAGGCACACTAGAGTTAACAGGTCCAACATACACAAAACTAGATTATGTAAGCCTGGAACCTAGAGTAAACATCATAAATCACAATGCTTAAAAAAAACAAAAGTATCAAAAGCGAAGGATCCATGGTTAGGTTGAATAAATTACACACACCCAGATCAATTGAATATCGCTCACCAGTCACCACACCTTATTACTTCAAACTACTACTTTATATCAAGATAAAAAAACCATATATTTAAAATCAAATTATCTCACATCCGTACATCTCATTGAATATCAATATAAATGTGCCAATCATGCCATGCCAGCCAAATAATATTATTATTATCGGATCCGATAAACTCACAAAAAGTAAAAGTTAGTACCCATACTCACAACCCCCTACCGGCACTCTAGTACGAATAGCATCTCAAATAACCGGGAGCTCGTCAGCCAATCTTTTATCAGATTTCCAGACGTTCGTACAATCATCTGTGAGTCGGCTCTCTTAACAAAGTATTAAGTGTTAGTTACGTCGATTCATTTGGGAATCTGGTAATTCGAATCAGCAACTTTGCGATTGCCGGTGGCCGGTAGCCGATGGAAAATAATTTGTGTAATGAGCTCGATAGTGTTGAGCTATCTACCGTTTCACAGGCTGTATAAATAGGTTCATTATAATCGAATGCTGCCCGTTTTATGAAATAATAGCAATCACTATTGTTATTATTATTATACGGCATAATATTATGACGACGTGCGTGTAAATGTTTACAGAAGTAATTTTCCAGAAATTGATGGAAATTTTTTTCGACATTCATGTATAACATAATAAAGTATATTTAGTGCGTATATTATCGAGGTCACAATTCGCTATTATAATATTACGCTTGTTGGTGCGTAAATTAAAGAATACATTATTAAAATTAATCAGGTATGTAAATAAAAAATTCATTGAAACTGACGTACATGAAAATGATGACGAACACAATTTGTATGCGGAAAGTATAAAATAACAATAGTATAAAACCCATAACGAAAATATGTTCATAAACCTTAAACAAATTTTTAAGATTCGATAGAAAGTTGTATCCTTAGGCAAAATTCAATATCGCAATAAATATCATTGTATTCAATGTTCGATGTCGGATAATATTATTGATGTATTAGGGAACCACAAATCACAATATTATTGCTATGACGATTAACAGTAATTGTTGATTTACATAATTACATTTTTTGTTTGGTGATTTTTTTTAAAAATCATTTAAGCTTATTTTTTTCTACCAAAATAGCACCCATGAGCCACTGTTACTAGTACCACGGTACTTTGTCATAAAATTTAATAATAACAGTAATAAAATAATAATAATATATTATGCACGCACAATGCATTAGCGAGTTTCAACAATACTAATATGTTATGTTTGTATTGCTTGGAGTTGAGTTGTTTTTTAATTAGCCACATTAAAATTTGTTCCAGCTCTCGTGTTTCAGAACCACTACGAATACGGTTTGCGCCTTCAAAAATACAGTAAGCCTTGTAAAATTGACAAAATTGAAGATCTGTTGAGTATATAAAAAATAAAAAATGAAAAAGAATAAAGAGAGATCTGAGAGCATCGCTCATTTTCACGTTTATTAATTTCTATCTGATTTTTATTCTGATTTTATTATTGATATTGGATCAGTTTATATGATTTACTGTCTTAATGACTAAAGACTTAGTATGAAAGTATGCAAAAATACTTTATTCTGACTATAGTATGTGTAATGAAAGAATCAATAAATAAATAATGATACAAATGGATTAAATATAATTTATTTTTCTCTAATTGAACATAATATTGTTTTGGTTCAGTACATATTATGAGATTATTATAATTGTTGAGCATCGATTTGTTTTCCATAAATATACAGTTAAAAAATGTTTAAATTAAGAACAAAACATTTAAACTAATTGCATTCAGCCTATTCTAAATATTAACATTTAAATTGTTTTTTTTCTTGTTAAATTAACATATATATTAGACCTCAAATTATAAAAATAAGAAATAATCGGTAGATTAGATGAAATTAAAACTAAAAACAAATCGACGGTATTGAACAATATGAATTTTTATTAATATTATACCTATGTCAAATAAAATAATACAAGTAAAAGTTTTTTAAATAATTTTTATATTCCAGAATTCTCAAAACATACTTTTAGATGGATAACAAAATATTATTAGACACTTATAACATCTAACATAGCTGTATCTCATGTTTGATAATTTGGGTTGGAACTAGTGTTTGGGTAAGTGTGGCAAAGATAAAAACCCGGGTGGTCACCCATCCAGGAGCTAGCAACGCCGGCCGTATCGTATACTCGGTGCATTTCCGCAGATTGAGCGTACGACCTCGCCTCACCAAGCCACAATCATTATACATTAACTTATTACATATTATTATTTTTTTAAATAAACAAAAGTCATTTTATATTTCCCATACATGTAACTTTTAGTAGGTGATTGGTTATTGACTTCTGAAAATTAAAATACATGTAATATGTTAGTTACACATAAATTATGTATAGTAGGGGTCGACAACCTTTTTGATGTCAAGGGTACAAAAAATGAACATACAATTTTTCACGGGCCACAATTTGAATAAACCTTATTTTTTTTTAATTTAGAAATACGCTTCAACTGCCAGGGTTATTGGCGTTTAAGATATACATGTTACAGTTTAATTATAATTTACTTAATGATACTAGAGCATAAACCTTATTTTATTTTAAACAAAAATGTATAGTCATATCAAATTTTGTTTATTTTAGTTCAT